CGCTCTGGCCAGGCTCAGCGAGCACGGCGGGCGCACCTGCGGGGGGCGTTTCAGCGGTGGGCTGCCGCCACCGCCCAGCTGCGGCGCCGCGCTGCGCTGCTACGCCGGGCCGTGGCGCGCTTGCAGCACCACCACCTTGCTGCGGCCTTCGGCGCCTGGTGGGCAGCGGGGGCGGAGCAGCGGCGTCGGCGGCACTTGCTGGAGCGCGCGGTGCGGCGCATGCGGCAGCTGCAGGTGGGCGCGGCGTTTGCCAGGTGGCACTCGCAGGCCCAGGCGAGGCGGCGGCTGGAGGGGATGCTCGCCAGGGTGGCGCAGCGCTGGCAGCAGCGGGAAGTGGCGGCGTGCTGGGACACGTGGAGGGAGGCGGTGCGCGCAAGGCGGGTACTGCGCAGCAAGATGGTCAAGGTGGTGCGCCGGATGCAGGTCAGCGCACCTCACTTTGCTGACCTCGTCATGCGAGCTGTGCACCTGCATGTCCTTGGCCAGGTGTTGTGAGCTTCGTTCAGTGCGAGACGTGTTTTACTTCTTCATTGAATGATTAGTTACTGTAGGCAATTCGTACATCACGAAGGCCCCCGGCTGCTGTCAACTCAAGCCCCGGCAAAGCTCTGTCCGATCCCTGGGGCACTTCGACTCCAACTCCTGTCTGTGTCCTCGTCTTCTCGGCAGTCGTTGCACCTGCACACGGCCTTCAGCGCGTGGCTCGCGTGGGTAGCTGCGCGCCGGTCTGCCCGGGACGTGATGGCGCGCGTGGTGGGCCGCTTCCAGCACCGCGTGCTGGCGGCAGCACTGGCGGCGTGGCAGGAGCGAGTCCGCCACAGCAAGCGCATGCGCACGACGGCCTTCGAGGCGAGCATCCCACTTTCATGCGGACCGCTGTGCTTCGCCAGTACTCTTCGGATGACGAGCAAGTCTGTCGTAGCTGCCTTCAACAGAATGGGCCCTTCCGTGCCTTCGATTGGTGCGATCCGTGGGTGCAGCCTGAGGGATCGGTTCTCGAGATGTCTGCGATCGCACGATCCCGCAGCCGCCCTTCCCGGGCCTCAGCGTGGCCCCTGCCTGCTTGCAGGTGATTGCGCGCCTCTCGCAGCGCACGCTGGCCCGGGCCTTCCTCGCCTGGCGCCTCGTGCTCATGCAGCAGGCCGCCGCCATGGGACCCCGCGATGCGGCGGACCAGCCAGGGGACGACCTCTCCGAAGGAGGCCCTGCCACCTGGCAGACAGTCCCCACCGTCTCGGAGCCCTTTCTGGCCTGGCGTGTTGCGGTGCGCCACATTCGCAGGTGCCGGGCGGTGGCCCGGCGCGTCGTGCAGCGGTGGCGGCACCGCACTCTGGCGGCCGCTTTTGCGGCGCTGGCGGAGCACTTGCGGTCGCAGAAGGCGCGCCGGGCTGCGCTGATGGCGGTGTGCAGCCGGCGGTGGGCGCGCCAGACGTGCGCGGGGCTGGCACTCGAGCGCTGGCGCGTGGCCACGCTGTGCGGCCGCGGGCGGCGGCTGCAGGCCCGGCTGGCGGCCGCAGAGGCAGCGGCGAAGGAGGCGCGCATGCTGCAGCGGCAAAGCGCCCACGAGCAGTGAGCCGCGCGTCCCCTGCTGCCAGGGAGAGTCTCACGAACGGTCTGCCGAGCGCAGCCTTGCTCAATCGAGGCGTCCGCGCCTGCTTGTGTGTGTCTTCTTCGCTCGTGAAACCTCCGGCTCGCAGGTTCGTGACCAGTCGATGCTGCCGCCTCCCCGATGTTAACCTGGCCCCTGTTGCCGTGTGTGCAGCGCGGCCGCTCTGTCGCGGTGTGTCCCTGTGCCGCAGGTGACGGCACTGGCCGGGGCGCTCGAGGGCCGCCTCCGGACCCACGCAGCCGCCGCGCAGCAGGCCTCGCAGTGCACGGGGCGGCTGGCGGCGCTGCTGTGGAGACAGGTGCGCGGCGCCCCAAAGGGCAGGGAAGCGCCGAGGGGAACGCTTGCTTCCGATCGAGATGACCCAATAATGTCGATGTGAATTCTGGCCGGTGCTATAAGATGGTCGACGAGTTATATGACGCCTCAGCCTGCGCTCGTCATGGGCCGTTACTCACCGACGCTTGGGCGGTCATTGTGCAGCGGTGTGTGGCACGCGCCTTCCACCGGTGGAGCCGCGCCAGCCAGGCCGCACAGGCGCGCCGCGGCCGCGATGCGCTGCAGCATGCCGAGACCGCGCTGAGGAGCATGGTGAGCGGCACTGGACGAGGGCCGACGAACCGTCTTGACGTGAGCCTGCAATTCCGTCGCAAAGATTCGGGTTCCTGCCATGGTTCGGCTCGCGCTTACCAAGTAAGAGTTTGAGCCCTCACCCCATGTCCGCAGGTGCGCGAGCTATCGGCGGAATCTGCCAACCGGCGGCTGCTGGAGGCAAGCATGGCGAGCATCGTGACGGAACGCGCGGACGACGCGTGCAGCACCCGCGCCATGCTGGAGGCCGTGGAGGAGCAGGTGCACCACCTGCGGGCACTGGTCCGCCAGGCAAGCCCAGGCGACCTGCAGCAAGGTCAGGAGGGGGTCGCATCTTAGGGCGAAGGGGCAAGAAGTAAAGAAGCGCCGCTTATCGACCGTGTAGTGGTTGATTTAACACGGCCTTCAGCGACTTCCTCGCCCGAGTATGGAAGTTGAAGCAATCTGAGTTAGTCCGACTGGAAGGGATAAATTACACTCTGGCACCCTGCCTCGTTTACTTCTCCGAAGGCACACGGCCGCCAAGACAGTCGTCCAAGTCCACCAAGTATCTGCATACTTAAAATATCCTCACTCCGGACATTGTAGAGTCGCAATGAAGCATGGAGAATCCATGAACTGAGCAAGCTGAGGAAGACCGTGACGCTGAGCTGCTCGCAATCTCCTCTCGGGATTGAAAGTGCGCCGCGCCCATATTGTGGAACGGCAAAACTGAGCGAAGTGCACGTGCCCAGCGTCGGTCGGAGGCCCGCTTTCAGATCTCAGCGGCATGACTTTCGACAAACTGGCCCCAAGAAACGATTGGGTACCCATGTATGTTGTCAGAAATGCATCTCGCCCATCGATCTAGCTTAATCGATCGATACAACCTTGCCATGGATCAACGGTGTCGATCATGCGCAGCCTGAGGGCATATATATGCGATTGCTATCATTTTGGTAGCTCCACACGACGTCCCTGCATGAACACACCGTCCTATATGGGCAATCAACTAGACGTTTTCATAAATCGCGTCGCAATTATTGCACGTTGCTTGGAATTTGCCATGTACTGTCACGGTACTAAGTCGGATATACATATACAAGGTCAATACTGCAAGCATGTGAATTATGGCTGGCACCGCGTCGTCAAAACGGCGTACTATACTCGGTGCGCCCGCTTGCTTGACTCAGTGACGTACCGTACTTACTAGCTCAGTCAATGCGGGATTGGCATGCGCTGAATTGTGAAGTCGACTCGATCGAGGCGCGGCTAGCAAGAAGGATCCGCTCCAATTCAGTTTAGGTTTCAGGTTTGCTGGCCGGGCCATTATCCGCAGTCGAGCTTAGTTTAGCAATTACACGGCCGCAGTTGCAAAGTCCTTCAGATCGAAATGGGCGGCTAAGTCCGGCTCGGCTAGGTCGGATGTCACGATGCATGGTCACCATTGTGACCACCAAAGGAGAGCATCCTGGCCCTTCATGCAGAGCCGAAGGCACGTACTGACTCATAGTCGGCTAAGGCGAAAAAGCCTTTTCAAGAAAGCATTGCCAACAGGTTATGTAACGAATTGTCGGGACACCAGGATTTCTTTGACGGCGCCGCTTCATGGAAGTGCCAGTCACTTACTTGAGCAACTCCGTACCTGTCCAAGTTGGACTCGACCCGAAACTATGATACTATGTATTGATGCGTACTCGCTAGAACCGCATCAACCTCCTCATCGACCAGCATACACAAACTATCGATCGCTTAAGCATTAGCTAAGCAGCTGGCGTAAGCTCCTCGTCAACCAATGCATGTAAAATCACGGTCTAGGATGAGCTAAGCAGCAATGCTTTGCCCCAATTAGCCTAGTGCCTCTGCTTACATCAGGCAAACCCGCCATGGATCTGAGACGACATTCGTGCTTCAAGATCCCCATTGCTCAATTCGCGTAGATGCATTGCTGGAACCTGGTAGTTCAACCCGGCCCGTTGGAGCACGCTCTACAGTAGGAAAGTGACGGGATGTAAGGCTATTGAAATCCGCATGTCCCTGATGCGTCATTGTGCAAGCGTGGCGGAATCTCAGCACATGCCTACGTGCTCAACGCAAAGCTGGCAGGATTATTTTCGCTGGTCAAGCACTTCAAGTCAGTTGCACATTCTTAGGAGCAGCCTACCTTACAATTCTCCAACTCCTGATGGACCCGCTGCAGCTCGCTAGTTTGCAGAGACGTGTCCTGGAGGTTCTGCACGTGGACGCGAGAGGAGCTGCCCCGTCAGTCCAGCACGCAAAGAGCACAGGAGATGCAGAGGGGGTCTCATTTGTAAGTGGCGCACAGGTGACGACGTTCTGTACGACAATCTGGCACTCAATTCGGTTTGAGTTTTTTAACGGCGGACTCTGCTTCAGTACTAAGGGGCCACAGTCGACCGGCTGGCTCTTCGCTCGAGAGGCATGTCGAAGCAGCGTGCTGCGCATCTTCCTGCCGAGGCCTACCTGGCGCTCTGCCGCTAATGCGGCCATCATGTCCCGCAGCTTACGCTTGAGCTCCCGGTTTGTCTGCAAACAGAGAAGCAGCACTGTGTAAGGCTCTGACATTCCGGGCTCATGCAAGAAAAGTCTTTATATTCGAAGCTACGCTGGTTGCTTGAGATTGTCAGCACTGGCACTGTCATTCAAGCCAGGACGGAGTCGCCGGGTTCACCTGCTTGAAGTAGAAGTTGTCCTTGATTAGCGCCTGCACCTTCTCGTCCTTGTCCTCGCCGCTGCGCTCAAAGTCCTGGACACGAACAACACCCGTCAACAGAATCAAAGGCGACCCTCGAACATGACTCCAAGGTCTGCTACACAGCAAGAGCATGGTAGACGTGCTCCAGGCCGCTCCTTGCTGCTTGCGGACTGCGCTTGCGCAGGCACTGCTCGGGAGCGCTCACCTGCGGCCTGTCTGCGCTGGCGCGCCGGCTTGCTGCCTGGCTGCTGGGTTCGGGGGTGTCCTTGTCTGGGAATACGCCGGCTGACGTCTTGATCTGGCGCAGCAGGAACTGCACCTTGGCCGCGTGCGCCTTCTGCTCCTCCGTCAGCTGCACCACCAACCACACCACACACCGTCAGTCGCCCCCTCCGTGCCTCTGGCTTGTTTCAACAGCAGCAGAGCAGGGCTTGTAGGACCGCCGCTGCCGTTTTCTGGTGCCGGGTGCGGCGCGCTCACCCTGCGGTCGAAGTCGAGCTCCTTGGTGCGCAGGCTGCTCTCCACCTGCTGCAGCTCGCGAGCCTTGGCCGCCACCTCCAGCTGCGCCTCGCGCAGGGCCGATCCCGCCGCGCGCTCGCGCTCCTGCCCGTCCACGCAGCGCTGCACGTATTGCCGCAGGAGCACCTTCATCTCCGGTGCGCTCAGCCGCTCCACGGCGCCCTTGACCGCCTCCGCCGCGCCGCCGGCGTCGACCGCGTCCTTGGCCGCGCTGGCGACCTCCGCTGCCAGGTACTCCGCCTCCGCCTCCAGCACCTGCGCGCACAACACCCCAGAGCAGCCGCGCTGAGCCAGCGACGGGCAACACCAGCGCGGATCAGGCGCAAGAGCGAACACACATCCACCGGAGGCCGGCTGGGGTTGCCCCGATGCACGGGAGACATGCATAAGAGACTCGCCTTTCTGCACCTGTAGTTGGATTCAGAAGGAAAAGCCTTCACGCTTACCTCAAGCCTCTCCTCAATGGCGGCCAATGTTTCTTCTTCATCATCCGGGAGATACTGCAGGAGCGTACAGGAAGCGTAAGATTGCAGAGCCACTGTCTCACGTACTGGAAGCTGTGAGATGCACCCCTGGCGCTTTATCTTCTCGGTGTCCCTCATAGGCCGACTGCTGCTTGATCTCAATATAAAGCAATCTGACTTTTTGGTAAGTTTATAGGGCGCCTGATATAACAGACAGTGAGATGGGATCGAGACAAGGCTCTGATGAAACGGCGAGGCAGAGAGAAGGGCCGAGATGGTCCAGACCTTCTGCGTTCGCAACTTTTCCTCGAGGCGGCTCCGCGAGTAGTGCTCGTACTCGAGCTGCCGCTGACATGCTGCCGCCTGCGAAAGAAACGAGGGGGTCAGGCTCCTTTGAGGCTCTTCAAGGCTCAACTATGCCTCAAAACATATGAAGCCCAATGAATGGCGGGACCTGATTCGAGGTGCTATCATATCTAGGTGCACTTTTCGCATGATGCTGCGATCACATTGTGTTTCGTTTTCGACATGGCAACGGAGCAGAAGACCCGCTTCCGCACAGCTGGACCCAAAAGCGTGAGCATACGCAGAAGCAGGCACAGCAGAAGTCATCTCGTCAGGTTTTGTTGCCAAGCTAAGTGACATGACGAGAAAACTACTGGCCTGAACAAGCGACTTCTCAGTGCCAATCAGCTCCAATCAGCTTCTCTGAGGCAAGCCCACTACATCAGCTGACCACGCGTGCACAAGGTGTTGCCGAATTATTGCCCTCGGAAGAATTGTTCAAGGTTGGCGACCTGTGTTTATCGTTCCATGGCACCTGGTGTTACCTGGTCGTTGATCTCGTCGGCTGCCTTGAACTGCCCCACTGCCTCTGCTTCGCGCGCCTGCCGCAGCCGCTGGTCGCACTCCTCCCGCAGGCGTGCCATGGCCGCCCCCTTCTCCTCCACCGCCTTGCCCAGCACCTGCTGCGCGCGCATCTTCTTCAGCTCCAACTTCGCCTTCTCGCCGCCCAGCTCATCCCGCTCCGCCACCACCGCCTGCCGCTTCCGCTCCTGCACGCATAAGCCCCACTTCAGGGCCCAGCTGCTACCCAAGCTGCAAGCCCCCATGTTACGACCAGAGCCCAGAATGTTCCTCCACTGATGGAATATGCTCCTAGTGGAGCGCCCTGCAGAGCTCCCCGATGTCCAGCGGCAAACAGTGCTGTAGTGTGTGTGGAGTGCTTGCGGGGTCTCACCTGCTTGGCGGCCTGCGCAGCCAGCTCTTTGTGTTTGAGCATGCGCTCCATCTCCTTGTCCAGGAATGCATGATGCCGCTTGATCTCCAGGGCGGTGATCCTGCACATAAGTGTTGCCGTTACTCCCTGTGATCCATCATTGACATACGACTCATTTTCAGTAGGAAGCTGATGATATTTGTGGATGTGTGCACACCTGAGAAAACCTTCGATATCGAGAAGGAGTCATGGCTGCCTGCCTGCTCACCCTGCGGTCTTGCCCGGCCTGCCCGGCCTGGGTGTTGCGCTGGGAGTGGTGGCCGTGCTGTCCCCTGCTCCGCTGACCCTCCTGCTGGTGCGCGGCATGGCCCGCCCTGCGGCGTTGTTGGCAACGCGCTCGCGGTGGCTCAGACGGGATGCGCCCGCATCCGCCCCCAGCTCGCGCAGTTTGCGCTGAGCCGCCGCCATCTCCTCGCTCTTGCGCTGCAGAATCTGCAACACGCCCCATTCGCTTTTAGAGAGTTTCCTCTGCTGCCCTTTCACTGCCAACATTGGAACGCACAATGCTCTGGGGACAGCTGTCCAGACTTCATATAGCAATCAAAGCACACTGACTCTTGCCACCTCCTCAATACTGAAACACGAACCTAGTAACGATCGAAGCAACATGGCAGCGCTTACCGCGTTCAGCTTTGACTTCTCGGATTCCAGCTCCCGCATCTTCTTCTGACTCACTTCGGCCTCCTTCTTCAAACTGACTATGTCTTTTACATATGCTGCACAATGTAGAACAGTTTCAGTAGCAGCTACAAGCTTCCAACATCTACATCGCGTCCGATCCTGGCGCGCGCTAAAACTTCGAGACGGTGCTCGTCCTCAGCTGGTCGAACGAGGAGCACTGCAGCATGGCAGGCCGCAGGTCATGGCTCGTTTCGCCACTAAGGTCTGCTCACTTCGACAACGGTTTGCACGGCTCACCTTTATTCTTCTCCTCGTACTTGTCTGCCAGCTCCTCCATCTTGCGCCGCAGCGTGTCCTGCTGTGAACGCATGCGCACGACCTCCGCGTCTAGCTGCTGCGCCTGCGACAACACGATACCACCCTTTAGTGTCACGAGCATAAACGACTGCCACGTAGCTTTCCTGCATGCTGGACAATGCCCAACAAACCCAGTGCAACCGACATAGATCGCAAATCCAGTGATTCTGGTTCTAAGGATGCAGGAACGTGGCAGATGTGTGCCTCACCTTGTGGTCGCTCTTGGCCTTGAGGCGCTCGAGTTTGTTCTTCTCGTTGTCGCGCTGCTGCCGCCGGAGCGCTAACACCTGCTGCTGCACGCGTCGCACCTTCTCCTCGTACGCCTCGCGTAGCCGCCGCTTCTCCTCCGCCCCCCGCGCCAGGTTGTTGTCAATCGACTGCGCCCACCGGAAAAGCAGCTTGCATGATGGCCGACTCGAGGAAGAAGGAAGGAGCCGACGTTTGCCCAGCCACTGTCCCTAAAGCTGTAACAAAGTTCCAAACGCTCTCCTCATGCTGTGCAAAAACGCCAGACGGTGTCCAGCAGTGATCGCACGGGCTCACCTCGAGGTCGTGGCGCAACTGGTCAATTTCCGCCTCCTTCGCTTTCACCTGCACAAATCAAGCGTCCACACTTCCTCAACTGATCCCAGTCAAGGTGGAAACCTGTGTCACCCTGATCAGAGTGTCGAATCGTCATTCCGGACATCAATTCAGGTCAACAATGGAAGTAAGACCTCATCCTCATAAAACCTGAAGGCTTTTGTCAGAAGCCAACCTTAGATCTAATCAGCAATCAGGACTTTCCGACGTGATTTGTGTGTTGTACTTCCCTTCTTCTCGGTTCGGCTTGTCCATTTGTGTAGATCTTCTCTCGATTCGGCTTGTCCATTTGTGTATATCTTCGAGAAACAAAGAGGTCGACTGGGTGCTGTCCAAGTTCAATCGTGAGACCCTGCCCTCACCTCTTGTTCCAACTCCAGCATTCGGGCTTCGTACTGCTGCGACAGAAGCTTCGCTTCCTGCACGTGGCATTATGCAACGGTGTGAGCGCACGATTACGGACGAACCACGCAGTCAAAGCTCGTTCGAACTGGGACCTGACTAGAACCCAGTCCGCGGTTGCCATTTGGCCCTGCCGGGGGTGCGTGAGCTGCCCCACCTGCTCGTTCCTGGCCAGCTGTTCGATGAGGCCCTCCTTCTGGCGGATGTTGTAGGCCAGGTCGCGCAGCTGCTTGTCCATGGCGGCCTTCTGCCGCTGGTAGTCCTGCTGCTGCGCCAGCGCCAGCTCCTCCACGCGGCGCTTCTCCACCTCGATGGCCGTCTTCTCCGCCAGGATGCACTCCGTCTCGTCGTCGTCCGCCTGTAGCATCGCGATGGGCAGCGCTGCCGCTCAGCAGCGAGTTCCAACTGAGGCCGGACCTTCGACAGACGAAAAGGATCAATGACGGCAGGCACTCAGGTTGCAACCACCACCGTGTGCGGCCACGAAAGCTTACCTGGATCTCCTCGGCAAGTGCTACGAGCCGCTGGGCTTCGTCTGCGACATCTTCCGCTGCGCCACTGGACATGGGTCGCCTACTGGGTAACAGTCTGCTTTCATCCTCGCAGTTCCCCTGAGAAAATGAGGGATGCGAACGTTGGAAACACCACCATGGCGTTGATATAGTTGTGGAAGTTCTCAACGATCCTCCGTTGCGCCATGTTAACGGGCGGTTTCCGTACTGCAGGTTTGAGTCGCTCCGGACAGAGAAGACGGCAACCGACCAGCTATCTCAGAGGAGAGGTTTGGAGTCCCAAAATCATGAAATACATACGCTTGCTTGAAGGTGCTTATCCTCTTCGATGAGCCGCACAGCAAGCATAGACCTTCTCCTAGGAACGCTGTCCGCATGGCTTACCTCATCATTTTCTCCGTGTGTCGCATCCTGACTCCCGGGTCGACTTCTCGGTGACTTTTCTTCCACGGGCCTGCCCTGAAGTGCCTCGCCGCCTTGAAGCTCGTCTCGCAGGCGGGTCGTCTCGGCTTGTCTACGCTGCAACTCCAGCTTCAACAGGGCAATGGCCTCAGCGTCCCGCTCCTGAAGCAGGCGACCAAGGGTGAGCTCCAGCCTGCAGCGTCCAACGAGCGCGGTGCTATACTGTCATGAAGTGGATCAGGCACACAAAATCAAGTCGACGAGTTGCTATGTTATTCTTACCGCTTGACTCAGAAGCTCCTCCTTGGCACGGGTTAGATCGCGTGCGAGTTTCTTCACCGCTTTGATCTCCTTGATCTGCAACAAAGCGATGAGCCTGTCAGTTTAACAGCCAAGTATAACTAAATACTTCGCTTCAGCCAAACAAAGAGCTGCTAGATCCACGAGAAGCACGGTTCCGAAGAAGGAAGGTGCACCGGTGCGTACCTTCTCAGCGAAAATAAGTTCATCTCGAGCGAGGTCTTCAGTAGCCTCGGCTAGTGCCTCGTCACGAGCCTGCGAACAAAAGGAAGGGGGATGAAAATGAGCTGGGTATGCAGACAGGATGAAAACAGTAACCGGCACATAAGACTACAGTGCTATGCAGGATTTACGGTAGTCATCTAATAGTCACCTAATGAGCGTCATCTTATGGAAGGTGATCAAGTTGGGGTTGTTTGACTCTAGCTTACCTTCAGCTCCCTGTCTTTTGCCGCCAACTTCTCTTCCAATTCTGAGCAAGAGCAACACAGAGATTGGTGTAAGAAAGCGTGAGCACTATGAACTTTGCCAAAGCATGAGAAGTCTGCCCAATGACACGAGGTTTGGGCAGCAAGGTACGTGCGAGTAAGTCGGAACTCGAAGATGCGTCCCTTACCTTTGATGTTTCGCAAGTATTGACTGATGACGTTCCTGGATCCACTGCTCCGAACACTTGCCAGTGATGTGCTGACGGTTATCTACAAACCCCCGACGAAAGAGGTTAAATACGCAAGTTATGGAGATGTGTTGTTGATGGTCACCTCTATGTCCATCTTTGGCAAGACCAAAAGCCTGACAGTCTGATGACTGCTACTGCACCTTCCATCAATAATCCTGCCTGAATAAAGCCAGGAGAACCCACAGGTTTTTGCTTACAAGAGATAATGACGGGCCTCCAGAAGACCTGACAAGTATTCGTTGACCTTCACATAAGTAGGAGGCCCCTTGTGATAATGAGTCTTGCAAACTCTGCCAACAAGGTGACGGATATTATGAGCAACGCACAAGCACTGGGCAGGATAACGACAGCAAAACCAGACCAAGTTCCATGTCAGCACCGGATCTGTGCTCCTTTCTCCATCGGACAAGTTCAACTTACGTCAATTTGCTTTGGGGAGTGCAGCTTGTCCTTGCTGTTCTGCCGACTGATCCGACCAGACCCATTCGCATGGCTTTCACGCCGCATGTCCCCAGTGGCCGGATCCGACAACCTAGTCTTGCCCCTGGGGCTCGCAGGTCGCGGAGGGGGCCCGCTGATCTGGGTCTCCCCGGGCTCAGCGTCCCCATTGCTGTTGAGCCGGCTACACAGCTCCTGTATCTCCCGTTTGGCAGTAGGCCCGATCTCCCCTGCCTCTGCCCAACGCGGAATGCCTTCGAGCAGCCGGCTGAGCTCAATGTTCAGCTCGTCCAGTCGGATCTGCGAATCAGAGCAACTACTGTTCAAGGTCTAAATGGTGACTCGTTGCTAAGGCGGCCACATAGCACCTGTGGGCATCCTTGACTCTTGATATCTTGTGGTGGCAAATCTGACGAGGAGACCCACAGTTTCGGGTGGATTCTGACATAAGAAAGACGGCAAGCAAGGCATGTGCGCGCTAACAATCAATGTTTGCAGTCAGTCTAATTCAGGGGCTTTTGCGTACGCCCACGGTCGTCTTGTGGACTCAATGCAAGAGCTTACTTCTCCAAGAGACATTCTCCACGAAGAAAGAAAACTGACACAAAAAGAACTCATCAGCTGCAGACCTGATAGTGGTCCCTTTCGCTTCTAACTTCCAGGCTTTCTTCGACCAGCTTCTGAACTTTTGCTTGAGAGGCTTCTAGCTCCTCCCTCAGTTTCCGGCATTCCTGCTCTGCGCGGAGGCCTCTCTCATGCACCGCGTGAAAGTCACGCCCAATCTCCCCAAGAGGCAGCTCTGGCTCCCTGCACGTACATGGAGTCTATGGACACTGACTCTCTCCAGTGCTTGACAAGATGGAGAAGACTCTTGCAGACTGGAATGGAAAACTTATGGGCAGAGCAGGATGGACAACTCAACTCGAAACTGAACTTCTGGGCAGTTTGAAGAAGCAGTATTGACTTCAGGCACTTTGGTCTGACTCCAGAATACTGGAGACTCCATTTGGAGTCACTTACTGCGGCACGCCCAGTTCCATCTTCCCTCCATTCGCAGGGGCAACGGAACCTCCTATAGCTGTAGCCCTATGGCGCAGAATCTCCATTTGAAGCGCCTGACAGGGGTTGGCTTGTTCAGTATGGGATTGCGGCATGAAATTCAATGCCAACAGCATTGAAAAGATAAAGCATAATCAGAGCCTAAGGAGTGCACAGGTTGGCCTGCCAAGCTGAACAATGGTGCACAGGCATAGCCCACAGAGGATCTCTCTCATGCTTTGCAAGACTTACTTGGATTTCACTCCTCATCTGTGCAAGTAGAGCCTGTTGAGGGTCCCTATTTATAATTGGCTTGTTCTTTATATTCCGAGCACGATTCGCGTACTTTAACGTGTTCAAGGTCTCTTCAAAATTCACATCCGCTGTACTGCATCAAAGAAGAATACTGAATGTCAGGAGTAATTCTGGCGCCCATCGAAGAGACTAACCGGAGTGTCGGGTCAGAGCAGTCTGCTTGGACGCACAACCGGCAGATGGGCACCTGATGCTTGATAGCAGATGCTTAAATGGCGTCCTCTTAAGTACCTGCTCTGGCAGCATTCACGTGTCGCAACATGAGAACGATGTTCTGAAACCTCCCCTTATATGAGGGGAGTGCAGATATTGAAGGAAACCTTACCTTATACAAGCGATCATGCAGGTGCGGCTGTTGCCCCCAAGGCTATCTTGCAACATCCTCGTCAGCTTGCTCTCACGATACGGGACGTGTGTTACCCGCTTCTTGTCATCTCCTGCAAGCAAGACAAGATCGTTAGAGATGAGGGGCATGCCTGGTCCATTGCTGCACGTCGACAACTCAAGCAATCAAATCGAATCAGCTGCCCGAGTGTCTCTGATGCTTATCCCCCTCCTCTTCAAGAAGGACTCTCATTTGACGGCAGCCTCACCAAGCGCGCTGATGACATTCCCCAGTGCCAGCAGCCCACAATTGATCTGGACCGACTCCTTGAACCGAACACCAACCGCGCCCGTGCGCTTTGCTCTTTCACTGCCGGCAAGGTCCACCTACAGGGACATTGTGAAGGTCAGTAACAGATGAAAGAATCTATGTCAAACGGTGGTGCGACATTTAGTCATACATCACCAACACCATTGTAAACCATCGGTGAAGAGGTATTTGTGGATGTTTCTTTTGGACCAGCCCCCCCATCTTGAAGAACCTCCCTCCTCTGACTTTCAAAACTTACCAGGTGGAATTTTGCAGTGATGTAATCTGTTCCGGCTCCAGCATCTTCATCAGCAATCAAGCGTTGCTCAACAACTATCGTGAAGATTGCATGCGAGCGGCTCGACTGCTGGTTCATCAGGGTACTCCCAGTGGTCCGGGACACACTTCCCGTCTCCAAGTACCTGATGCACAGCAATTCACACCGATGAGCTCACATGCGACCATATGATGTTCGCTGGTTTCCGTTTGACAAATTGGGTTCAGCCAAATGTGTGTAGGCACGATGAGCAGAGAATCCTTGCAGTCCAGCTACCTGACAAGAATACTCAGCCAAGGCCAAGCAACCTCACCTTAGCATATCATCATAAGAGTTTACCACTTCTTCTCGAACTCCAGCCAGTACAATCTCGCCACTTGCACCTTCTCGGATGGCTATTTGCTTGCCCTCAGGGTGTAGCAGATCATTGATCTCTTCGTTGTATATTTCCACGAATGAACATCGAATCTGGAGAGGAAGGCAGCAGGGTGGCTTAGAGTGTCCAGATTTCCACTTCCACTCTCCACCCATGCAGTGCAGTGAGCTTAGCTACCTGATGGCAGAATGCTTGAACATTGGACTGATTGAGAGTGGTCAAGGGGGTATCGACTTTCCATTATTCGCAGTGAAGGGGTGCCTACGACACAGTATATGCCCTCACCAAAAACTCTGCCTTCATTTTGCTTGCTTCAATGCATTCAAAGAGGTGGCGTATTGCTCGTGGAAGCACGCCCAGTTCTTCCTCAAGAACATAGCTGGAATTCGCAGTCCCCATTGTGAACGTCTTGCCTGCAAGATCAGCAAGATCAGCGGCCACCATGCATTAACAGAGTCAAGAAGCACTCAGCCATCACCTTGAGACCAGAGGACAAAGCAGACTAAACTGAGCACTTACTTCAGTTACTTTGACGACAAGCTAGAGTAGAAAGAGAAGGTTTAGTATGAAGATTTAGAGAGCTGTCAGCTCAAGAAAGTTTCGGTCTAACTGCGCACAGAGGTCGAGGCTTCTTTCAAACGTGGATTTCCTGATGGAAGCACAGACTTTTCAAAGTTCTTCTTAATACATAAACAGATGACGAGCTGCGAAGAACGGTCCGTACACCAACCTGAGCCGGTCTGTCCATATGCAAGCACCGTAGTATTGTAACCTGGGGACATTCACGAGAGTTTGAGCGAGGGAAAAGAAAGGAGGTGCCAGCATACGCAAATTTAGGCCCAAGCTTGGGCCCGCTGCAAGCTTTTAACATCGATGAAGGGCAACTCCTCCAAGCCGCACCTTGGATGCTATTGTTGCATTCAGACAAATCAGCTCCACTTGACTGATGGAATAGTGCATCTTACCTGCAATGCACGCTTCCACAAGTGGTTTTACGCACGTCATATAGACCTCCTCTTGCGTGCTTGCTGTGCTAAATACATGATCAAAAGTAAAGGGCCTGTCTTTGCCCAGAAGAATCTGCTGCGAGTCGACCAGGACTTTGATGCAATCTTTATAACCTTGCACGCTCTCATTTGCAAGCAACGGCCTAGCTCGTACTGCTACACGAACAGCGATCTCTGCACCCTTTGCCGCCCCTTCTGACTCTTCTATTATTTGCGTGTTTCCTGCCATATTCACAGAAGTGGACCACAAAACGTCTCAAACAGCCTAAGATCAATCACAAATACCCTGTTGGAAGCATGTCATCTGTGGTCTTTTTCCAAAACGAAGCGGTGTACCTACTTGTATTTCTGGAGCCCTTACACATCGAGATTGAGATCTAATCATACTTTGCAGAGAGCCCTGAAGTTTACCCTGGCTTCAGCAAGCCTGAGCTCCGCCATTTCTGATGCAGCATGCCCAATGCAGACGCCCCATCCCATCCGATCATCATGCCGTCCCCTGGGCCTGGGCCTGAACCTCAGGCTGAGGCTGACCTACCCACCAGGCTGAGGCTGACCACGGTATACCGTACCAATTGTCCGGTTGGGCAAATTTTTGCCCAATAGTTAATTTCGTATCTCAGGGATTTTGGGCAGCTTCATTTATGCATTTGTTTTGTTTTTTTACGGGGCAAAATGATCTGCAAATCCTTAATTGGAATTTATTTTCAATTCAGATTTTTGGGCAAGTCAAAAAATATTTAATTGTTGCCCAACCAGACAATTGGTACGGTACCTACCAGTCACAGTGAGGACCAGTGCTGAGTGAGGTGGCCTGAGGTGGCAGGTGCTTCAAAGGTAAGAAGCCGGTCAATTGTACCGGCCTTCAATCTTAGTTTAGCCCGCAACCTGGAGCTGGCGCTTGAAAGCAACCCCGGTCACGATCACCGGGAAGTCGCTTAGGGTTTGCAGATTGTTGCATGGGCTTGCACACCTTGCCGCTGCACTTCTCTTCCAAGCAGCCAGGCTGAGCTGGGCAGGACACTGACAGGTTTCTTTCACTGCAACTTTCAGCGCTGTTGCAGCGTGTGCTCCTACCTACGTAGAACTTGGATTCCAGGTAGGACTAGGAGGTACCTAAGAAATATGAAGGAGCAGTTGGGCAATATCTGAGGGCTCATTTTTGAGGCGGTGACATGATGACGGAGGAGGTGACAGAAGGTGGCGGGAACTGCTTGTGCACTACATTTTGAGGGACAAAATGCAGTGCATTGATTTGAAGTTGCGGTGTGGCTAAGGTCAGAGGTGTGCAAGGCCATGTCCAACTTTTTGTCTCTGATCAAGTCCCGTTTGGAGAGTGGGACGCAGATCGAACCTTTGGGTGAGCCAGGTAAGTCTAGGTAACCGAGCGACTTGCTGCAAGCTCCTAGTATTTACCGTTTACCTGGACAATGTGCAGATGACATAGGGTTTGGAAGATTCTCTTCAATCAGCTTCTTCAAACCGCCTGCAAGCCATAACAATTGTCATTGTTGCAGGATGGGTGAGAGCAGCGTTGGCTCAAGCTTCTCAGGTGAGACTACAGCTTCTAAGTCCGTACCGCCGCAGCAAGGTTGTTGAAAGTGCCAAAACGTGCAGTCGGTTGGTCACATGTCTTTTTGTTCTCTGGGAAGTAAGCTGGTAATGTTGAAGGCTGCCTCACATGGCCCGCCTGTGTCTTGTGCAGCCGGATGTCGCCCTTGGTGGTCCCACACGTTCCGGAGCTGTGCAGGTGTCATCCTCTGGTCGCACTGGGGAGGAGTTGTCGAGGACGTTCTGGGAAGCTGGGATGTTGGATAGCCCCATACCAGATGGTTTTTACTCAATCACCCCGGTATGTCGCAAGCTCTACACCGTACTGAAGTTCACAAACCCAAGAGCAGATTCTCAACTGGTATTTTGCGGCAGTTTGGTGGCATACATTCTTGCCTGCTTCCGCATCTGGCAGTCAACGCCGATCAACAAGAACTTTTTGCCACTGTTCCGGGAGTGGCTCTGCGCAGTCTCCGCTGCCCTTGATCTTGCCTTTTTTTGGAACAGAATGAGGACATGCGCTCCCGCTTTGCTGCGTTCCCGTCTCTGGCTAGCCTGGAGGCCACCCCGCGGGGCCTGAGTGGCGATGTGCTGCTGGTGGACCGCCAGCAGGACCTGCAGCTGGGCCGGCTGGCGCACCTGGCGCACACCGTGCTCCAGGCCACCAAGACGCGTGCCGCCCAGGAAGCGCAGCTGCAAAGGCTGGCAGAAATCGTAAGACACGCCCTTCGACAAACTAGGATGTGGCAATTGAGGGTGTGGGCTTGTGATAGTTTGCGCTGGTCCTGTCATGCTCAGTGTATCCGCATTGGTTCTTGTTTGATGGCGCTGCTCTTCGTCGGTTGCAGGTGGCCGACTTCTATGGGGGTGCTATGTCTGAGGCAATAAGCCAACGCAGCAGTACCACCTCCACTGCACTTGATGTAAACATTTGGCGTCCAAGGAGTGACTCAGTACCAGCGGTGGTGCTTCTAACGGAGCTTGAACGCGGGGCATGCCGTCCTCGAGCATTGCTCTTCAAGCACCTATGTGATGAGCTGGGTTTCCACAGTAGACTCATAATGGTAAGTGTGCAACAGGATGCCCACTCTTCCCTTGTTCCTACTTGAGTGGCACGCCACTGCTGTCTTGGGCCTTATGTTATACCTCGCGGCAAGCATAGGTGGGGGCCAGACAAATGCAAAAAGGCGTTGCCCCTGTCTTCAGTCCATAGGGCCTGGTGTCACGAGGTTGCTCACTGCGCCTTCGATATCTGCAGGGATTCCAGATGGAGGCCGTCCCGCTGAGCCCGCTGGCGGGGGTGCGCCCCAACGAGCACCTGTCGGTGGTGGTGCTGCTGGAGCGCGGGGGGGAGGTCCTGGTGGACCTACTCAAGAAGCCCGGCCTCCTCCGCCCCGTTTCCCCGCGCTCCCTGCTAACCTATCATGTGGGGCATGCCGGCGACACTGAAGCCATGGAGTACGAGTCAGGCGACTCGGGGCCCAACAGCCCGCTGTATGGCATGGCGCTGGCCACAGACAGGTGGGCCGCATGGGCGCTCCGTCTCAGGCCTCAGTAGAGCCATCAGCTTGTCAATCAGAATCACAGGCTAAAATGTCTGCAACTTCCAACATCGTCGTTGGGCCCCCACTCATGCATTCCCTTTCCTCTGCTTTCTGCTGTCTGGTGCCGCCACTCAATGTTGTCTGTTGCCGCCACTCATGTGCCCCCCTTCCTGCAGCCCCGAGCACGAGGTTCTGGACAGCCCTCGCCTGCGCTTGCATCGTCAACGCATGGCCGCGCAGCAGGCGCAGGCAGCCGCAGCGTATGGGCTTACCCTATCCCCCGATGCGAAACTGACAGCAGGAGAAGTGCCACCCGCGCGTAGCAAGTAAGCTTCCTTGGGCGTAATGCGAAGCAGGTTCAGAAGTACAGCAGCAGACAAGGTTTAGCATGTTAGCGGACTCGGGTAATCCACAATACGTTGCCTTTATCCTGGGAGCTTAGTAGAGTAAAGTTAAAGTCTTACCTTTCGCTGCGGGTATGTGTGGAGGACGCTGACGTGTTGCTGCTTGCGTGCACAGCCCTAACGGCCTGGAGGATGCTGAGGCTCCTCGTGCACCTTGGCGCTTCCAAGGCAGCCCATCCCCTAGCGAGCCAGGGCCTCGAGGGCGAGGGCAGGACATGGAGAGGCATGTCTTGTCAAGGTGAGCTCTCGCTTGCCACCTGTCCTTCTAGACATCCACTCCTTTCCATATCGAGAGGGGCTCAGCTGTGGTTTTACGATCTGGCACTGCAGCTATTCTTCGGATAGGCGCTTTGAGCGGGATACAGGGACTCAGCAGGCAATGGCTTCGTAAGCAAAGGCCCCCAACGATCTCTGCGTTTGTCGTCCAGCCCCGAGCAGCGGTCGCAGCCCCACCGCCGCATGCGCACCTCAGCGCTCGAAGCCAGCAGCCTTCCCACCAGTCCGGAGGTCTCCCGAGACCTGCGGCGAAGAGTGCACTCCGAGGAGGGCAGCCTGCCGTCCAGGTGACATGTCCAAACGTCAGCAGTGTGCAGATCCGATCCTGGGGTTTCGAACAGGGTGGGCATGCAAAGCGGTTGGTCAAGATATCGAGGCACCGCCCCTGGCTGTGTCCTAACATAGTCCCCTGCTTCGTCATATCATCATGCTCTGCTGCTTTTTATTGTCCGCAACAGAGGCATATGAGTTGCGACTTCGTGGATGTGATGCAGCCCAGAATTGTCACAGAGGATCCACCCGGCATCAATGCTAGGCAGTGCTCGCCGCTTCCTGCTGGACGAGGGAGACAACTGCACACTCAGGTGATTCCCGATCTTTTCTTTCTTGTCCTTTGATTGATGATTTGTTCGCAATCTGCTTGGTGGTCTTGCTTCATTGTTGCAGACATATTGCTTTCTAAGATTCTTTGACGTATATTTATTTTTGCAGCCCGGAGGCTGTCTATGGCCATCCGCCCCCTTTTGCCAGGCGGCGCTCTCGGAAGAAGAGTGTGGACATCGATGACAGCGCGTCTCATTGCTCTGTCACGAGGTACGCCCAGCGCCCTTGCGAAACTCCAGGTTGGGACCATGCCCTCGCCTGCTCGTGAGTGTCACTGCGGGTTCCCCTGTTGATTGTCCATTTGGATGGCCGCTCTGCTCCCTGCCCTTCACGCTGCCTGCCCCTGTGGTGCAGCCCCGACCGGCCGCCTCGGGTGCTCACCCGTGTGGCCACCCACGCTGGGCCGTGGGAGCTGCCTGCTGCCAGCGCCAAGTGGCAGGGAGGGAGCCCCGCGCATGCCAAGGGCGACGACCGGCGGCCCAGCAGCGGAGGCTCGCCTGCGCAGAGGTAAATCTTGGCGTGCCCTCTGCCTGGCACGCCCGCTCTGCTGCACGTGGTGGAGGCAGCGAGAGTGACCTGGGATGCCTTTTACCATTCTCTTGCCGTTCCCCTCCTCCTTCGCCTCTGAGCCCCACCTTGTTTGGTGGTGATCGCAGCAGCGCAAGCGAGCTGGCCCGCCACCTGGTGCGGCAGCGCTCCAGCGAGTCAATGGTGCCCCCCCGCCCGCAGCGCACTCCCTCACCCAGCTCCGCCGATCGCCGTGCCACCCGCAGGAGTGTGCCCCAGGTTACCGACGATGTTGTCAGGTACACCGCAGCGGGCCTCCCCGTTGAGCATCGCCAAGAAAGCCCCGCGGATCATGTTGGACGTTGCCTAGACCTTTCAGTCGGCTGATTTCAATGTCTAGAGTCTATGCTAGACACTCAGTTTCCGCAACTGCGTACTCGTAGTTACCCTAATTTAGACCCCAACCTCCACTGTTGCCTCCTAGGCTAATTTATCTGATGGGCTAACTTTTCACTGAAGCTGCTGGAATGCCCTCGTCTAACAATGACCCCACCTAAACCAGCGGACCGCCCCCTGTTGTGGTGGCCCTGAAAGGCCCCATCCGCTCTGCTGCTGCCCGCTTCGTTTTGAGCTGTTCCCGTGCTGCACGTGCGCAGGGCTGTGCGCGCCATGAACGAGAGCCTGCGCGCCGGCCGCCGACGGTCCGACAGCGTGGTCAAGGAGCCCCCAAGCGCCACGGGGACGGCCAGCAGCACCAGCGGCGCCACGCCCACTGCCAACGCCGCACGCACAGGGGGCCGGCCGCCAATGGAGCGTCAGGCACACGGGGGCGGGCTGCAACGATTCGGCAGCGCCCACATAGGAGAGATGCCAGAGACAGAGGTAAAAATCCTTTTGCGAGCACTTGTGAGCGGGCCACTTTTAGTGCTTCTTTACACTTGCGCATCGTCAGGGGAGGCTTGAGAGAAGTGCGAAGCTGGTTGAGGTGGCGCAGAGCGGCATCTTGTCTCAATAGTACGCTCCTCGGTTCCTGGAGTGACGAAAGGAGCTGGCGTGGCCGGCTGTGACTGCTCGCCCGTATGCTTGCCCACTGTGGCTTCTGGCAATTGACCGATTCCCTTCCTCCGCGCCTAGATCTCCGATCCACAACTCGTCGGGAAGTTTCCCCCCCTCCTCTTCCCTGACCATACTTTGCATGGTCTGTGGCCGCGCAGCGCTGTCCCTGGTGTCGCCGCGCGTGCGTGCCAGGCAGTCCTCCGCCCATTGCGGAGGAGACCTTCCTGCACCGCCTCGACCGCCTTGGCATCGACTATCGCCCCGCCTCCGCCCTCTGCCAGGGTGTCGACTGCCAGCCCCGGCCGTCCTCTGCCCGCGCTTTCCTCCGGGGGGCATCCGCGGAGCAGATTGTTCCGGACTTCTCGGGCCGCCATGCCCCGTCATCCCACCCCAGCTCACAGCTGCTGCCCGCGCCGCTGAGCCCACAAGGCCCCCCCGCCCCGGGCCAGGCGGATGGGGGCGTGCTGGCAGGGTCGCAGGCGGGAAAGGAGGAGCGGCGAGCACTGCAAAGTGCGTTGGAGCTGGCGAGCATGCTGGAGCAGAGGCAGCTGCTGCCCTTTCCGGAGTGGCACATCGACTTTGCCGAAATCAAGCTGGGCATTCGGGTGGGAGTTGGTGAGCGCAGTGCTTCAGCACACTGCGTCCAATCATGTCCTTCCGTCACGTTGGGCAGACAGGCCTGGCACCAGCCTGGTGCTGAAGCCTGGGACCGCCCCCTGCTGCTCTGCTGCCAGTGATCTGCCCCTGCCAAGAATACCAGTGTGACGGTGGCCGGGGGTGCGTGCAGGCTCGTTCGGCGAGGTGTTCCGCGGCATCTGGCGCGGCACGGAGGTGGCGGTGAAGCTGCTGCTGGAGCAGGACCTGAGCCCCGACAACATGGACGACTTCTGCAACGAGATCAGCCTGCTCAGCCGCCTGCGCCACCCCAACGGTGCGTGCGCTGCCCCTTGCCTGCCTGCCTGTGCCGCCCGAGTTGGTCGTCCTGCATAGACGCCTTGTGCCAGCCCTGCATGCTCTGCCAGGGCCCGTCTCGTGCTGACGCACAAGTGTCGCGGTTGCAGTGATCTTGTTCTTGGGCGCGTGCATCAAGGCCCCGCATCTGTCCATGGTCACCGAGTACATGCACATGGGCAGCCTGTACCGCCTCATCCACGCCAGCGGGCAGGGCCCTCGCTTGAGCCTGCGCCGGCGGCTCAAGATGCTGCGCGACATCTGCCGCGGCATGATGTGCATCCAGCGCATGAACATCGTGCACCGCGACCTCAAGTCCGCCAACTGCCTCGTCGACAAGCACTGGGCCGTCAAGATCTGCGACTTCGGCCTCTCGCGCCTCGCCGCTGACGCGGGCCAGCCAGGCGCTGCCGCGGTGGGCACGCCCGAGTGGATGGCGCCCGAGCTGCTGCGCTCTGAGGCGGCCACGTACAAGTGCGACGTCTTCAGCTTTGGCGTGATCGTGTGGGAGATGAGCACGCTGCGGCGGCCCTGGGAAGGCCTGAAGCCGCACCAGGTGGTCGCTGCTGTTGCCACCCAGCGCGCGCGTCTGCCCCCACCGCCGGGCGTGCTCGGCAAGCTCGTCGCAGGTGGGCACCGATCACATCCGGGCCCTCTGCCCCGTACGCTCAGCGCCGCTGCTCAGTGGAGTGGGCCTCTCACTGGCCGCCAAGTCCGGGATGCTACAGTTGCTCGCAACCGATTAAGCCGCATTATGAGCAGACGTTCGGCTTTGAGGAACATCCGGCATTTCGACGATTGCATGCTTCCGGCGCTCAGATCGGATGTTCAAAGACTGTTTTTGTGTGACTGTGCAGATTGCTTTTCCGAGTCGCCAGCTTCACGGCCGAGCTGGGAAGAATGTCTTGCTCGTCTACATGAGTCGGAGTTCTTGCAAGACCTCGACGAATAGCCCGAAAGCCGTCAAATTTCGAAACTGCAAACCAGAGTTTGAGAAGCACGCGGATGTGTGATGTACATACAATGAGAGGAACTAGAGGGCAGCATCAAGCTTGTGTTGGTAGCATGCTGGCGGCCCCTGTAGAATTTAATAGTCTTATTCAACCGCGAGATCAGAGGGAATGCGTGCCAATCTAGAGCAATCGTAGCGGTGGCGTCAGGCGCAACCCTTAAAGGTAGCTCCTCCGATAGAACTTTGGAAGACGAGTTGCGACCATTAGCCTCCCAAATCGGAACAAGTCGATGGCACTGATCAAGGTGAGAATTTCAAACGGTGAAAGACCAAAGCTGTAACTAGATATCTTCAGTGACAAGATGGAGGATCTGAATCTGCTGCAACTATCCTGTTACCATTTGAAGGTGGGAAGGTGCATCAACGGAATTAGCCATCTGTAGTATCTGCAAATGCACCATGCAATTGAAAGTCCGCTTCGGAAAATGGTGAATATAGGAGATAGTCGGATACGGCGGGACAGGTCATTTGAACGGGTTGGCCTGATTTTGCCGTAACTTTGGTGACTGAATGACTTGACAGATCTTCATGTCACAGTTAGTCAACTTTGTGTAAAATTGGCAAGGCCGCTGCCAAGATTGCATATTGAAGCGGTCTTAGTATATAATGTAGATAACAATCACAGCGATGGGCCCATGCAGTGTACCATGATCCTTAGGCTGCTGTGATGGTACGTGCATGTTAGAACTACAGCCTATACTAGCTTAGTCCGGCATGTCGAGCATCAATTAACCACCACAACGCTTCGACTAAGTTTCATGCAATCAAATTTATCGTTGATCGAGTAACATTAACTTACAGTGTATACAATGCCGCCGGCCCGCGCGCGGCCACACATGTACGAATGGCGCCGCGATTGCAAGACGCTCAGATCTCGAATCTAGATGCATGCCATGATGATATAAGTAATTCACTTAATACAATGCCACCGGATCGATCGGTTGCTGCATGCTGAAGATCATGCAATACTAACTAAACGATAGATCGAGTCAGAAGTTTCTAGCCTCACTGGGCCCATGTACTTATAAGCTAGCCTAGCTGCCGCGCGTTACTTTTTAATTAGTATAAGCATTGATTGCAAACTGTCGGGCGTCAATCCATATATGCAATTGCAGTAATTTGATCGTCGGATTCTAAATTGAGGTTCTTCATTGTACGGTGCTCAGTAAGTTCAATCCAAATCTAAGTTCCCCGCGGCCGCGGCTCGCATGCATCATGGCATGCATGTATTAGATTATTGAATGGCCCGGGGACCGCCTCAAATACTTTCAAGTTTGATTGCAATAATTAAGGTTATATATAATATCGATCGTTGCGCATATCTCCGACGAATCAGCTCAAATGCATGATCATCGAAATTATCGATCGATATAAATTTCGACCGTGCGGCGATCGATCGATTTCGAGTCCGAATGTTTTTAAGTTAGACACTAATTACGTACTTATTGATTTTTGAAGCTAGCTCGGCCTCTTGATTTGTCATGCGCTAGCTAGAGCCATGGAACATTAGATGTGGAGATTATGCATGCAACAATATAAGGAATCCACTATTATATAAATATACACACAATGTAGAAAGCCTTGTGTGAAAAAACCCTATATATGAAATACTTTTAACCGATACATTAGTTTTATATAGAAGTAGCACCTTAAGTTGCATGCATCAATGACGTGATCGATGCATGTACCGCTTTCAACAACAGTGCAAGAAGTTCAGGTTTCCGGTCGCGAATGGCAAGGGCAGGAAACGCAATACCGTACCGTCCGTACTGGGGTCAAGGGCTTATGCGAGCTTTATTTAGAATCTGCAAAAATTGCAAAATTGGACCATAGGGTTTTAGGGTTTCCGTAATTTTCGGGTATTGTGACGGTTGGACAGGGTTTACACGCTGCCTGTCTACTTCATATGTGCGGAAACCATGCGAAGCTTTTCAGCACGCCTTGGGATCACCTCAGCAAGAGCGCCTCTCAGAAAAATTGCGTCTTCGTGCCTTCTTCCCAAAGACTGATTAGTTAGGACTCACGAAGAGGCTCCATATTCAGTCAAAGAGTCTCGAGACTCGCACCTCGCAAGGCACTTGCTTCTTTACGCTTGATGAAATCACAAGAGCCATGTCGAGAAGACGTCTCAACGTCTCTGCCCTCGATATGGGTTGATCACGTCTCATCCACGATCAGAAAGCCATGTCAAGAGATAAGACCATTGAATCCACATA